AGAAATATAAAGTATGAGAAGAAAGGAAAGAGGAGTGACAAAATAGTGAGATTCGGTATAGCGTTGTTAAGATGAGGATAATGTGTGTATACATCTGCGCCACTGACTTCGGTTCTGAGCCATATCACCTAGGGTCTCCAACCACTGGTTCCTCTTGTCCCGTGGACCCCAACCACCTAGTCTGCATCGTCCTACATGGCTTAAACCAACAGTCAGAGACTTCATACATTGGTGCCATGTTTTAGTCTGGCCACCTCGGGCCTTTTTCCAGCCTGAACCCACCTCAGCCAACATTGTGTGACGAGGCAATCGGTGACTAGGCATACGTAGTACGTGTCCCAACCATCTCAGTCGATGAAGGTTCACAACCTCGTCGACTGACTTACCTCTTCTCCCTAAAACTCTACACCTAACTTCTGCATTACTCACATGGTGACACCACGGAATACGTCCTATACTACGAAGGCAACGGTGGTCAAATACCTGTAACCTTCTCATGTCTTCCACTTTCAATGGCCATGTTTCACAGCCATACAGTAGAACAGAGCGGACTGCTGTGCAGTACACGCGACCCTTAATAGACAAACGAATATCACGGCGGCGCCATAGGTGGCGCAAATTGGCAAAAGCCAATCGAGCCTTTTGTATCCGTGCAGAAATCTCATCGGCAACTAACCCACCGGGTTGATCCTACTTCCCAGGTAAGTGAAGTGGTCAACACACTCAACCACTTCACTCTCTATTGTTAACCGCGGTACCGCTGAAGACCAGTCCTGGAGCAAAAATTTGCATTTGGGTGGTGAAAATCGCATCCCAAACATTCTCAAATTCCCACTCAAAGTGTTCAGAAGACTCTGCATCTTGTCAGCGTCTTCACCTAACAGGACTATGTCATCTGCATATTCTAGATCTAAGGAAAATTCACCTGTGATCCGGTCAACGTCTTTGTAATTAGGTGACGAGAGGGAAACCTCCATAAGAATATCTATGATAAAATTAAATAAGAATGGGGATAGTGGGCATCCTTGACGGACACCACTTGATGAGTATAGCTCCCTGGACAACTCACCATAGGCTCTAACATGCCCACAAGTGTTCGAGTAGAGAGCTTTCAATAAGGTGATGTACTTACTAGGCACGCCTTTCAGTGACAGACACTGCCATAAGACTTCTCGATCAACGGAGTCAAATGCCGCCTTCAGGTCGAGAAATACAGCTATTGTCGGGCGTCTGTAAGCATGCCTATGTTCCAGGACCTGGCGCAGTGTGAATATTTGGTCGATACATCCACGGCCAGGTCTAAAGCCTGCCTGGTTTTCTCGGGCTTGCTGTTCCCGAGCTCCACTCAGGCGTCGGAGAATTATAGAACTTAGGATCTTAGACACTATGTTTGTCAGGCTGATTCCTCTGTGGTTATCACAAGAGGACTTCTCGCCTTTCTTGAAGACTGGGATGATCAGTGACTTAGACCAGTCGGAGGGGATCGTATTTGATTCCCATATACTGGCTAACACTTCCGTTAGCCTGACTAAGAGAACTCTACCACCATTCTTGTATACCTCAGCAGGTAGTCCGTCTGGTCCTGCTGCCCTTCCCCGTTTCAGGCTACCTACCGCTTTCTCAACTTCTTCTAGTGTTGGGGGACCTGTCTCTATGTCCCATTCAGGGTCCGACTGGATAGCGGGCAGCGCAATGGTGGCTGGAGGCCAGTTAAACTGTTCCTCAAAGTGTTCTGCCCATCGTCCCAGTCGCCTTCCCTGCGAGTGAATCGCCGATCCGTCCTTCTCCGCTATAACCTCACTAACTGTTGTTGACCATTTCCCCCCAGTCTCCTTAATAAGTCTAAATAACTGTCTACTGTTACCGATCGCCGCTGCCTTTTCCATCTCTTTAGCCTTTGCTGCCCACCACTGTTCACGATCGTTGCGCAGACTTTTCGTCAGTTTATTTTTAAGTTGCGCTCGCTCTTCATTGTACTCAGAGCCTGCAGGGATGCATTCACGTGCATCCATTAGTTTGGAAGAAGCTGCTGATATCCACTGGCTCTTTTTAGCCATTATCTTGGAGTCGGCTACAGTCTCCAGTGCTGCTTTTACAGTAGACTGAAGATGGCACCAAGCTTCTTCTGGATGAGTGACAGTCTTTTGTTCCGATAACTGCCTAGCCAACTTCTCACTGAACACGGCTTTGGTGTTTTCGTTGTCCAGCAGAACTCGTAGTGGTTTTGTTGCCAAATTTTTTCTACGTCCATTGAGACGCAGGCATATACGTGCTCGGACCAACGCATGATCGCTGTCCAAACACGTACTCCAGAAGGAGCGGCAGTCTTCCACCGATCCTCTCCAGCGATGACTAATAGCAATGTGGTCTATCTGTGTCCATCGCTGAGTCGAGCTCGGTGGACGCCAGGTCAGACAGTGCCTTTCTTTATGTCTGAAATTTGTGCTGGCTAAAAATAGGCGGTTATCTGAGCATAGTTGTAATAGGCGATCACCGTTATCTGTACGTTCAGCTGGGATTCCGAAAGTGCCACCTAAGTGCCTTTCTGCCTCACTCAGTCTACCCACCTGTGCGTTGAGGTCACCTGCAACAACCACTACGTCCGAACGTTTGGCTTTCGAGAGGAGGTTAGACAGTTTATGGTAGAACTCGTCCTTCACTTCATCCGAACTACAGTCAGTGGGTGCGTAAGCAGAGATTACAAAGAGACAACGGCGAGTCTCACTATTCCTTTTAGTTCTCACTGTGCCGTTCAGCCTCATAGCGCAGAGGCGACTATCAACTGGGATCCAGTCTAGTAGTGAGTTTTCTGCCCTGGTGCTTAATGCTATACCTACACCTGCAAGACCACGAGAGCTAGCTATCGAATCTCCAGAAACTCGAAGGGTGAATTTTGCAGATTCACCAGATTGGTCAGGAGAGGTCAGGTGAATAACCACACTTGGGTCCTGTATGCGTGTCTCACAAACACAGCACACATCCATGCCTCGAGTTGCTAGAGTCTTTGCCAACGAAGCCTGTTGGCCAATTTGACGGAGGGTGCGGACATTGAAGGCTCCAATATGTAATTTGGAGCGTGGTTTAAGGAGACCAGGGATGCTGTTCTGTGGACTCAGATCGTTGTCGAAGGCTGCAGAGGTAGGAGAAATTGAAGATGATGCAGCATCATTAATTAAGAGACGTGAAGGAAGATTAGAAGGTAATGATGGAGGAGGAGGATAGCAGTCAGAAGAAACTTGGGTGCTGACAGAGTTGTGAGGGCGGTTGACACTTCCCGGCTGCCCACACCGTGGAAGGCTATTTCTTCTTAAGGTACCTGAAAGAGATTTGTGTGACCGCAGAGCCCATCGGACATCTGCTTGAGGCCTGTCACACCCAGCCTTTTGAGTATGATTATTTTGAATTTTTGTATTTTTGGGGCCGGATGAGCGAAAGGAAACGACAAGTGAACCAACACCGCCGGCCCGGCAGACCGTGGGGCGTGGTGGAGTGTGTTATTTTTGGGGCCGACCTTTTCTAACCCCCCCTTCCACTGAGAAGGCAGCATCAGCTTGGCACTGCTGGTCATCCAAGGGAAACACCTTACTGCTGTCACACCCCATCCAGCTAGCAGCAGTACGACTTCGCCCTCAGACCCCCATCATAGTGTAGCAATTTACACTATGACGGTAACTGCTTTTCGTCTAACCACTACCCAACAGACCTTTCTGGTATGGTAGGACCTCGAGGGAACAAGCGTTCCACCAGCATAGCTCGTTGGGTCATTGTGATATGCAAGCCCGACCACCACGTCAAGGTAGCAGCTATCGGTCGGGAAAACAATAGGGTATAACTACATCATTAAGCTAGTGCTAAAAAAAGCCGGAATCAAGAATGCGAAGTAGTTGCTTAATAAACTGAGACAGTAGAAATATCGAGGAAGGCAAGGAGTTTGACAAGGTGAAAATTGTTGGTAGATAAGAAATGCAAATATTGAGTGTCCACTTGACAGATAGATGCTGTCCAGATCACTGAAGAAGACATTCTTTTCTGCGAAACTGCAGATCAGCTTCTCTAGTCAACAAATCATTCCGGAGTACTGTAAGGACAAGTTGCCACTTTCGGCCACCTCGATGTGTGTCTACAAATTTATTTGCTCCTGTGGAGCTAGTTATACAGGCCGCACAAAGCGCATGCTTTCCAAAAGTATCTCGGAGCACTATTCTGCATAGTTGTCGAGGGAGAATGTAAATCAATTAACAGTTCAATTCTTGAACATTTGGTCAACTCTGGACACAAAGCTAGACCAGAATCCTCCTTCAATGTCATTTATCGTGTCAGATGGAATAGTTGAAAAGGAGTACGCCTTCGACAGTTGTGCACAGCGGAGGCACTGGCAATTCATCAATTCAAGCCTGATCTTTGCATGCAAAAGAAGTATGTTCAATCTCTCATCTTACCATGGTCTCTATACTTTTATTTTTTTCGATTTCATTATAATTAATTAGTTTATTATTATCACCTTCATTATGACCTTTGTCTCATTCTTCATCTTCTTTACACCTATCTATCAATATTTGCATTTCTTATCTACCAACAATTTTCACCTTGTCAAACTCCTTGCCTTCCTCGATATTTCTACTGTCTCAGTTTATTAAGCAACTACTTCGCATTCTTGATTCCGGCTTTTTTTAGCACTAGCTTAATGATGTAGTTATATCCTATTGTTTTATAATAGACTGTTATATGTTTATGATATACATGAATACTACTATACAGCTTTAGAAAATGATATCGTCGAAAAGAAAATTTTCTTCGCTGAATTATCTCTTCTCTATGACTCAGCGGCCATGTTTTGTAGCCTAAAGTTGAGCAAGGACCCAGTGACGGTGAAGGAATCCGATGAGTTTCTGAAGTTTTTTGTTAAGCTTGCCGTAGTGAATACACGAATTAGGTTTTTTTTAAAAGTTAGTATTCTGCATGGAGGGACATCAGTTTTTACCGTACAATTACTAAATTACTTGTAAATTACTCATATTTTTATGAAGTGTCGCTTTATTCAAGTCAGTTAGTAATGCTCAGACGGTCTCAGCTATCCCATAACGAAAGTCGATGTTCGGAGACTTTATGTGATGTTATTCAAAACCGATTGTAGCAGTGCAGATTCCTACAAACCCTATCTTCATTCTGTTACAGCTTCCCTACTAAGTTTGATGATATTAGTTTTTGGAGGTTTGTGAGGATGAATTGGTTTCAAGAAAAACAATTATCATGGATTAAAATTAGTTAAGGAATCACTGAAAATCTAGGAGGACTAGACTTTGTTTCGTCAGAGTATGGGACTCTTTACAGGTGCACACCCACGACCTCATCAGGGATCAAACACATTGGCTGAACGATACTGTGCTCGCCACGAGACTTAAAGGTCCTGGACTCGACCTTAGAAGAGATCAAGAACGCTCACTGTCAGAGACTTTCATACTGGAACAAAACGGCTTTCCACTTTTAAACGGGTTTTCAATGGTCATCCAGCTGATGCAAGACCCTAGTGATTACTGACTTGAAATATTACTTTCGCTTGTCTGACCTTCATCTTGTTGAGTTGCCTCTTGATGTGGTGTTTTGATGTGCAACAGATTCTTGCGCCATGATGTAATGATGTCAGATTTCATGTTGATACAGACTGACTGGTTGAATTATTCTATTCTAGTTTAATCTAAATTCGTTCGGGTACACTGCTAATTTGCTCGACAGTAATCAATAGAAAAGGCCTTCCAGTGTTTGAATCGCACTTATTTCATTAACAATATATTAAAATCAGTGCCTGGATCCCAGCTACTCATTTTGTTCAGTAGTATACTATTATGCAGAAAAGCCAAGTATTCAAGGAACATCTTAACAGGGCCACGGATAAAAAAACTGTATCAGAAATGTCAACAGGCGAATACTACTACTTTCACACTGATGAAAGAAAGTGGCTAACAGTGAGTTTAGGAAGCGCACTTTGTCCTATTTAGGACTCTTCGGATGGATGTACCTGTCCTCCAGTGAGTGAAAGTTCTCCGATTGAGAGTTGTACTCACCACCAACCGATTGGAAGGGTAGAACGTTATCCACTCCATGTTCAACAGGCATAGGCTGATGTTATGGTTTTTAGTATATCGTCCTTGTTGGGATCAAAGTGGTCGACCTATGTTGACTTATAGATTTCTTGGTGGATACCTCAAGATTGCTGGTTGTTTCAGTTTGATATTATTGGTGGATAGTAGCCGGAAGTGGAAATCTGAACGCACATTTCGTCCTGTTCAGAACTCATCAGGTAGATGCAGCTGTCTCTTATTGTACTGCCTATTCTAAGTCATATACCAAACACGAGCTAAATAATATTGAACAATTCTATGGCTTAACAACAATAATCTTTTTATGACGAAACTTAAGTAAATTTTGATAGCAAAACCTATCAAGTTTTGTACTAAAATAGTAATTAACATTCAAGCTGTGTATTACTTTTTTCTATTTTTATTCAAATGCTACTTTAATTCAACTATAGCCACAGTCAATATCCAATACACTTGCAGAAAGAGATTTGTCAAACATGCGATGACTCAGCACTATACATAAATTTAGCAACTCTACTCATGCTTGTTAGATCAACTTTTATCTCTTCCTGTGTGTGGGTGTGTTGACTTGTCAACAAGTTATTTGCATGTGTGAACTACATATCCGACGTTTTTTCTATCATTGCTTAGCATAGACTGACATAGTATATGAGCGTAGCGTAAAGAATGTTAACAACGTGATTTACCCGAGGTAGCTTTCATCACAAATTGACATCAAGAAAAGAAGCGATAATTCAGCGAAACTTTCTTTCAACGATATCATTTTCTAAAGTTGTACAATCGTATTTTTACTTATCACAAACGTATGATAGTCTATTACTAAACATTGGGGTATAGTTGCATCGTTAAGCTAGTGCTGAGAACAATCAAGCATGAAGAGTGGTTGCGTAATCTCTGACATAATAGAAACAATGAGAAAGGTGAGGTGAAGATAGTTGGTTGGTGTGAAATGTAATGTAGTTGGATGTCCGCTTGACAGATATAAAGAAGGTGAAGAAAGAAACAAGAGTTATAATGATGGCGATAACAGAAAATGAACTTTTTGTAGTGAGATCGAAAAACAATTATTAAAGTGTTAAGATAAGAGACTGAACATACTTCTGTTCGCAAAGATCAGGGTTGAATTGGTGAATTGCCAGTGTTTCTGCTGCACACAATGGTCGATAGCATATGCCTTTTGAAGTATTCCTTTTGATTCTGTAAATGACACTGATGGGGAACTCAGGTTGAGCTACATGTCCAGAGATGACCAAATGTTCGGAAGCTGAACTGTTAACTGATTAACATTCCCCCCTACACAACCATACAGTATGGTGCTCAGCTCACTTTCCAAACGTATTATCTGAAGAGATCATGATCGAACGAACGTCATCGGTGAGTAATTGCCTTTACTGTCTCCAATCCAAATGACGACATTTCAAGAACCTAGCCTAAGGTTCACATTCTCCAGTAGACAAATAAGTCCATGAGTGTGTCAAAGATAGAATATCACTTTTGAACTCGTCAGTGCGCATCTGTCAGTTTATTCGTATCTATGGAACAATGTACATTGGTTATACACAATGTTCATGCCGTAAACATGTTTTGAAGCATTGTTCAGCTTGGTCATCCAGTGGAGACAGAAGGAGTGTTAAAAGTTTTATTATTGAACACCTCATCATCCCCAGATATATCCCCCCTCCCTCCAGCAGTTCCTTCAAAGTAGTCTACAGCATATCCCCCTACCGTTCCAGAGGACTTTGACGTTATCTGTGCGTCACTGAATCATTATTATATGATTATTATTTGTCCCTTGGGTTTCTAGTGAAACATAGGGCTTCAGTAGCACATCTCCATTCCACTCTGTTCTCCGCAATCTTTTGAACCTGGCTCCATGACAGCCCACAAGCTATCATTTCTTCCTCACATGGTCTCCTCCATGTCACCTTCAGCTGGGACGCCCAACTCGTCGCTTCCCATCTGGATGCCACTCGATGACCTGGACTGGTGCGTGATGTCCCCAGTCGGCCTTCTCTCAGTATATACCCAATCCATCTCCACTTCCTTCTGCATATTTATTCAGCGATAGGTTCTTAGTTGGTTCATTACCCAGCCAGAGTTCCTTCTTGCTTATTCTTTCTAGCAATCCATCTGGTCTTCAGTAACCAGCAAGCGTAGGCAGTTGTTGATGAATGTCTCTAGTTTGTTGGAAATCCCTTTCGTAACCCGCCAAGTCTCTGAAGCTTACAGGAGCACTGATTTGAAGTTGGTGTTGAAAATCCGCATCTCGTTCCACATGCTGAGTGCAGTGCAGTAGATCTCCACACTGGTTTCAGGCTAATGAAAGCCTGACTTTGACGTCCTCGTCACTGAAACATTGGCAGTTCACAATCAGATCTTCGTGTTCAAAAACATTTTGTGTACTCATCAGCATGACCGTGACCGAAGTAGTAATTTTCTGCTTTTAGAAACAATCTTTTCTAATCTTGAAGACTAGCAGTCACGTGACTGTACTGACTAATAATAGTCTACAATTTGTTTCCAGTGATTAAAAAGTGTAATTTTTGAGTGAGAAACTTTCTTCGCTGCTACGCTTCTGTTATATAACTTAACATAGGGATTTTTTCGGCATTAAAGAATACTAAATAGCTGTTAGTAAAGAACAGATACGTATAGGGATTTGTAGCAGCCTAAAAATCCCTACGGTAACGTTCCTGACTGCGGTGCTGAGTGTTACAGGTTTATAAATCTAATGAAAAATGAGTTTCTTTAATGTCCAGAATATAATTTGTTGATGAGTGTCAGTCTGTATGAAATATCAACCCGGAGGTTTTGTCTATGTCGCTGCTGTCTCCGAAGCGTCAGTAAACACTAGTTGAAGAATCTTGTTGATTTGGTTGAAATATGGTCACAGTGGTGCCACAAATACTCTCTTTTGTAATCTTCAAATCATAACTATTTTCATTGGTCTTTATTTGATTATTTTCTCTCCTATCATATACTTTTGTCTGATCTACTGTTTATACTCACTTCTTATTGCCATGCTCTTGAGAAGTATGGCAATCTAGATCGAGGTGTCTTTGTATCAGGCTTTGTATGGACTTTTTGTTTGTCTATCAGGGATTCTGGTCAGTGCTTCCTACCATTCTACAGGACATCAATAATCTAGTGACCAGCTGTTGGCAATTTCTCGTCTCACCTATAATTAAGCTGGTACATGGAGGCGAGTAGAAGAGTGTGCGCCAGTTTTGAAGTAGTAGTTCACTCAACTGGCATGAAAACTTAGAAAGAATACTGGGCGATAAGCGTGAGTGTGTATGACTCAGCAAGCACAAAGACTGTACTACCGTTTAATGGTGCAAAACAATCGACAAAAGTGAACAATTCACAATGAGGAAATGAAGCGTTCCGCAAAGCGAAACTGGAAACTGGATGGGTAAGATTTCAAATGCGTAGTGCACTAACTCTTATATTGCTGCCTTAATAGCAACAATCAAAAATTAATAAGTATCATAAAATGTTGGGTGCCACCAAACGACCGCCGGCTAGAATCCTGCCAAGACTGACGTTCTCCTTCAACCTTGAATAACTGTTCGGTATTATTCATTTGGTACGTATATTGTACTAATAACTATACCCATTACTAAATTATTTCCAAGATGCGATAAACATATGTTGAGGATGAAGCGATGGTATCTGTCAGTTTGACTTCAACCACATTCTTGGATGTGTTTCAAGATAAGCAGATCTTCATTGTGGAATCCAGAGCATTTGTTTCGTCCAGTTAGTGGCGTGTTAGCTGGATGTACCTGCCTCTCAATAAGTGATTACAAAGCATTACATCACGTGAATTGTGATATTGAGGTAAATAAGCCTTCAAGTGGTCCCTTATCATCTATAAATTACTCCATCGAATCCCTGTAGAACTATTCAAGAAC